TCTGGTGCCTCAGCGTCACCTGAAGGGCTCTTTTTGCCGCAGATAGCTTGGCCCTGCCCAGTTTCTGATCCAGTAGGTCAAGGAGTCTGGGAATCCGCATCTCTAACAATTTCCTGGTGATTTGTTCATGTGCTGGACTGGGACATGCCTTGAGAATCATGGCCTCGTTAGACATGTAACTGGGTGGGGAGACCTCTTCAGCCTCCTCACTTTTCTCAAGCCTCAGTGCGGGCCTCCTGGTCTTCAAGAGCATGCCCTGGAAGTCAGACCTCACAGCTCACTCTTTGGTCTGTCTTCCAAACAGACTTGGGAGATCATTTATTCAGCAAAACGAGGGAGCAGGCTTAGTTCCCTGCACTCAGGGCACTTATAGCTTAGGCACAAGATTCTAGGGGGTACGTAGACCCCCCAAAGAAATGATAACAGCCTAAGTGCATTCTGGAGACCTGGTGAAGGGGTGCTGGGAGCAGAGAGGGACGTTTACTTCAGCCCTGGGCAATCCTGAAAGGCAGCGTGGAGGAGGTGCTAACCGAAGAAGTGTTTGGAGGATGGGCAGCATCCCATCTTAAGGCTGTTGTAGCAAGATTCGGAAAGCACTATCTCCCTTCACCCTCACAACAATCCTCAGATGGGAACTGCTGTTACCAGCCACATTCTCAGTCTCAGGTGCTTGTGGAGGTGGGGCAGGACATCCCGAGAGGAGATCATGCACGCACGGAGGAAGGGAGAGGGGGACAGGACAGTGGTGGGGTGAGACTGTTTTGAGGCTTCTCCTGAAGGGAGCTGAGGGCCCGCCTGGTGGAAATGCACCTTGCCCCACTTTCCCTGGGGCAGCACGAGCTTAGTCCCATCTGTCTAACTAGGGCAGGAGGCAGGCTGGCAGCTGGCTGTGGGATGGGCGGGAGCTGAAGGGAGGCGGATTGAGGGGGCTCTCCAGAGCACAGCTGCTCCAGATGGCAGAGGCTGCAGGTCTGGCTCAAATGGCCACACAGGGCCTGGAGGGCCGAGAGGGCCTGGAACTTGAGGGGCCTGAGAATTGGTGCTAGCATGCTGGGGGCTCCATTTAGAAATGTGCTTGTGAAGTATGGCCCTGAAGGGAGGCTGAGCAGAGAGGCTGAGGGACAGCTGCTGGCACAGCTTCCATACCGACAGACCCCAGACAGTCTCTGTGTGACTCTAGCAGTCACTGGCCTCCTCAACTAGAGCACAAGCTGGAAGCAGAGGAGGAACATTTGTTTCAGCCCTGAGCAATCCTGAAAGGCTGCATGGAGGAGGTGTTAGACACCATGCCTCTGCCCCTGGTGCGTGTGAGGAAGGGGGAGGTATCAGGAAAGCCACTCTGATCCATGCTGGGTGAAAACTAAGTAATCTGAATCCAGAGGGATGGAGCCAGAGGAAATGAGCTCTAGCTGCAGCACGAGGTATTCTAATTAGACTCAAGGAAGCACTGGCTGGGACACTGAAGGGAATAGTAGTCATTGCTGGGGGGGTGGTGGGGAGAGACTCACGCTTACATCTCTGACAGTCTGCCTCCCTGGGGAAAATATGGTGGGGCTTTCTCCCCTTCTAGCACTAGTTCCTCCATCAAATCTCACGTAGGTTTTACTTCCCCCGCTACTACCATGCTGGTATGTCACCTCTACCTTCCTTACCTGGGTGGGCGAAAGGCACCGCGCCCTCCCTCCCCAGCTAGTCCCAGTTGCGCGGGGCCTCTGAGCTGGGTGAGTCCTGCCCAGAGAGGTCTGAGCCAAGGCTCAGAGAGCTACAGGCCTCAGAGAGCACAGCTCCATGCGGTCGGGAAGGGCTGCAGAGCGGCGGCCAGCGGGATTTCTATGCTGACAGAAACCAGTGGGGACAGGGGCGGTTTGGCCAGAGTAGACAAATGAGTGCGAAAGCAAAGCAGGGGGGGGGAAGGGCTGTCTGGTGCGCTAACAAGCAGGGCCAACAAGCGCGAGACCCTGACTCTTGAGTGGTTTGCACGGAATTGTGCAGGCGACAGGGAGCTACTGAAGATTTCGGAGGAGAACCCGACAGTGTCTGGGTTGGGAGGAGGACTTCCAGGTTTTGCTCCTAGCCTGGGAGTTCATGAAAAGCACGATCCTTGGATTCTGAGCTGCTCAAGGGCTTCTCAGGGGCTCCCCAGGGAGGCCCACAATTGGCATCGCAAATGTCACCTTTTCAGCGAGGTCCGGCATCACGATCGTGTTTAATAACACAACTCCCCTGGTTCTCCTGATTGCCCTTTTCTTCTCTGTCCCCCCGCCACCCCCAGCATTTATCTCTGTCGAGCGTACTTCACAGTCTATACTGTTTATCGTCTGCCTCAACCCCATTAGAATGAAGGCCCTTGAAGGCAGGGTCACGGTCTGCTTTACATGGTGCTGAATAGGGCCTGGAGTCCCAAGAAATCATTTACTTGTTGAATGAATTGAAAGAAAAAATACCCCCGATCCGATGCATGAACCAGCATGGTCTGGCTGTTCCCTCCCTGTCACTTCATTCCTGGCTTCCCGATCTTGGCAGCACCCGAGTGGAAAAATCTCAGAAAGGCAGACAACTCTGCTCTTCCCTGCTGGGCCTCTCACCCTTGCCAGGAATCCGGGGAGAGTTAGCCTGTTCCTCTTCCCGTCCTCCACCAAACCACCCCCACTTTCCTGCATCTGGGAGTGGACGCCGGGGGAGGAAAATTTCAACCAAGGAAAGGCAGAGGCTTGCAGGACTAGGTGGATGATCAGCATATGGCAAATTACTGAGTGTCCACCCCAGCGAGGTGCTGGGCAGCGGCTCTGGGCCTTTTGTTCCATTTTGTCCTCCCATCAACACGAAGAAATGGACATTACCCTCCCATTTTACAATTGGGGAAAACAGAGGTTCACAGAAGTTTGCTGGCATGGCCAAGGTCTCCCCACCAGGAGATGAGCCTGTTTTGAACACAGGTCCATGTCCTACTCCAACCCAGTGCTCATTCCTCCATAGTGTTGTCCTTCTGCCGCAGAAGCAGCTGAGATGCAGGGTGTGGTGCTTGCTGAGTTTCTGTCCAAGGTCCCAGCTCCCAGGGGTCTGCGCTGGCCTCAGGCTCCCCACCTGAGCTCTGGGAATGGAGGTTTTGCCCATCCCCCAGTGGCGAACGAGCACAGTGACATCACGTCTGCCACCCGGCCTGAACTCATTGGAGAGTACGGTCACTGCCTGTGCTGGCTGGTGGCCAGGTGTCCTGTCCTCAAGCTGATGTGTACCATGAGGGCTGGAGCCCAAAGTCGGTGCCCTGCATTTGCAGCCCCAAAAGGCCCAAGGGAAACCAAATCTACCCCTGTGTCCAGACCCAGCACCCCACATCCACATTTGCACACAATGGGACCCTAGTTAGGGAGGCAAAGAGCTTGGATCAAACCTCTCAGGAAAAAGTGCTTCTGAGTAGGCTAAACACACTCCTGCTCAATTTCTGGAGCTTTAAGTGCTAGACTTCTGCTTCTTCAGACTATGTTCATCTACTTGGAGGGTGGAAACCCTCTCTCTCAGCACACATCACTGTTCCTTATTCTATGCAAGGTAAACAATATGGTTTCTGCCTTAAAGAGAAAATTAGAGCTTAGTCACTAAGTAGGCAATAGAGAGCCATTGATGGTTTTAGAGCAGGGGAGGGCATTGTGCTTTAGGGCGGTTCATCAGGCAAGAGTATGGTAGTAGAAAAGACTTTTGGAGTGATCAGCACTACCTTATATTAAGCACTTACTGAGTGCTAGATGCTGTTTCCAGCATGGTACAAATGTTAACCCGAATCCTCACTACTGCTGCTATCCCCATTTTTACAGATGAAAACACTGATGTACTTAGAGATTACAGGGCTGGCAGATGGAGGAGCTGGGGATTGCAGCCCTCTGGCTCCCGAGACTGATTTCTTTGCCACTATTTGATGTTACCTCTCACAGCAATCTAGACAGGAGGGGCAGGGGCTGGGGCAGGGCTGGGACCGTGGGCATGGCCAGAAATTAAGAAGGAAACACTACTCGCCTTGAAAGGCTCTCACAAGGCCAGATCAGAAAATAGGGAAGATGTGTCATTAAGCACTTTGATCTGTGCAGAAGAGAGCATTATCTACGCTCACTTTTATTGATAATAGCAGCCATCACAAGTTTCTTGGCCACCATCCCATACAGAATAACTTCTTTCATGGAAAAGAAATTTTAGGGACACTCTCCGATCGAGAAATCTTATCAACTCTCCAACCCTTTCTTGATTTTATTTATTAATCTATTTACTATAGGGAAGCAAGCCTCACTAGATCAGATGCTAATGGGCCTGAACACATTCTAGTTTTGGATGTCCGGTCACAATCCCTGCCAGTGTCCCTGTCCCAAAGCAGTCATGGTACCAGGAGTCACCAGGGAGGTGGAAGGCAGGGAAAGCTGGAGACAAAGGCCGGGCTGGGGCAGGACAGGGGCAGGCAGCTAAATCAGGAAGGGCAAGGTGAGACCCAGGGGCTTCCTGTGCTATTTTGACAAGATTATACTTGATTCCTCTGAGATGTTCAGCTACAACATTTTAAACTACACTATTGATATAAGGAACGCCTGAGAGCATGTGAAAAAAGAGACCGAGGTTGTATTGTATCACAAAGAGCCCTTCCAGCTCCAGCAATCTATGAAGATACCGTCTGTCTTAATCCTTTCCCGGGAGAAGGTGCGAGAGGCAGGGACCCTCAGAAGGGACTCTTCCAGGTCTGGCTGGGTTCTGGGCCTGTCCCAAGTCTGGATTGACTGGAGAAGAGCAGTTCTGCCTGAGATGTTTGTGTGGCAGGGGAACCCTAACCAAGACGAAAATGTCTTTAGTCCCCTTCCCAAGTCACCTGGGACATTGTCCTTTGGAGAAGGGACTGGGTCTTTCCTGCCTTTCCCTGCCAGGTTGTGGGTTTGGGGGCTCAGGAAAGCCTTCGCAGGCTTGAGGGAGGAGCTGGTGCTGCGGGCTGAGCCCTGCTGGGAGTATGATGGCAGAAAACCTACCTGGTGAGATCTGGGTTTCGGGCAGATGGGCTGTCACTCGCCTTCCGATCAGCTCTTAGGAAAAGGTGTTTCTGAGTGGCCCAGACAGATGCGTTCCTGCTCGATTTCCGGCCACAAAGGTGGCTTCTCCAAGGCTCTGTGGCACGGAGACAATGAAGCACTCTCAGTGCAGGCGGGCATGGATCCCAGTCCACCCTCGCCTCCGCAGGGCACCCTCCCAGCCCAAGCAGACCAGGCTCCTCCCAGGTCAACATCTTCCAACAAGGCCTGCCTTTGCAGAGTTCTGATGGGGTCAGGGGCACCCTAGATGCAGCAATGACCTCTAGTCTACCCCCCTCAATGACCTCTAGTCTACCCCACTAAATACAGCTGCCCAGAGGGTGAGCTGGGGGCTACCTTCCTCTCAGCTGATCAGGGGAACCGTGCATGGGGCACCACATGGGGAGTTTAAGCACCTAGATCTGCCCTGCCAGTTCCCTCTGGTGAGCTGGAGCATGCCACTTTCCTTCTCCCTGGTGAGCTGGAGTTCCCCACTTTCCTTACTGGGATTAGGGGGACTTCAGCCTAGGTTCACAGACAGTGTAAGCTGGGAGCCATCAGGTGACTTCAGGTAGGACTTTGGAAGCATCTTGGGGGTGAGGGACGTGCACACATGCACTAACCCACTGATCAGAATCTTCAGGGAGGTGCCTGGGAATATGCATTTAAACAAGTCTCCTATGTGGATGATAGAAAACAAGACAGGCTGGACTGCATGCTGGCAAGTGGCCAAGTCCAAAGATGAGGCTCTGATGATAAGATAAAGGGGTCATCAGCCCCTCTCCCGAAAGCTGCATCAGAGGGGTCCAGTCTCTACCAGCAGACGCTGGGGAACTTGCTGAACCCTCTCTGGGCTTTGTTTTCCTCATGGACAAAATGAAGCTTGGAGATGATCACTTGGACCATTCCAGATTTAAAATTGTGATGTGGTTAAAAAAAAAATATGTGACAAAACCCACGGAGAAATGAATTTAAAAAGAAAGTTCATGGTGAGAGACTTTTAAAATAGTTTGTATGCTTGGCTTCTTTTTAAATTCTGAAAATAATATGCTTAGGAGGAAAAAAATCAAACCATTCTAAATAATACATAATGAAAAGTTGCCCTGCTATCCCAGACCTCTGTCCTGCTACCCCAGACCTCTGTGCCAAACATTGTCAAGTTTTCTTTAAGAATTTTCCAGAAATATTAATCAAAAAATACTTAAGCCTGCACTTTATTTTAACCTCACCAGCAACAGCCCTGGTGTTCTATCTTTGTTATTTAGTACACATCACACATCTAAGCACACCAACACAGACAGATCTTTATTCTCATAGCAACTCGTCCTCCCCACCAAGGATGCATTATCTTTTTTTTTTTTTTTTCAATTTTTCTTTCTTAAAAAGTGATCTGATAGTGGTAGCTTATCAGGAGATAGGGAATGGGTTAGAGAATACGTAGGTATCTTCAGTGGAATCAGTATTTTCTTTCTTTTTTTTTTTTTTTAGAGGCATGTTTTTTATTTATTTGTTTGTTTTGTTTATACATGCACTGGGTATAGTCAGAAGCGCGGGAGGGTGAGAGAATTCACCAGAGCCAGAGCGGGGAGCAGAGCAGGCAGAAGGACCGAAGCACACTTCTGAGGGAGCAGCGGGCGGCAGGAGAGGTCTGCGGCCATGTGGGACCCTCCTCTGGTGGCCGGGGAGCAGCCGGGGATCGAACCGGCGCCGCAGAGGCCGCGGGCAGCTTTGCAACCCAGCGCTCAACCGCTGCGCCACCGGGGAAGCCCAGGATGCATTATCTTTTATGAGAATGTCCTGCTAATGAATGTTAAGGTTGTTTCTACTCTTTTGCTGCGCAAAGCTGCAATGAACATGTCTGAGTATATATCTATGGGCACATGTGTGAGGTGATCTGTAGGATAAATTCCTAGGAGTGACAAGCTGAAGTTAGGTGGATCTGCAATTCTAATCGATATTGCCAGATTGTCCTCCAAAGAGGATGAGCCAGTTTGCCCAACCTAGTCACACGTGACAGTATCTGTTACCCTCCACCCTCAACCACACAGCACATTATCAAAGTTTTAACTTTGCCAATATGAGAATTGAAAAATGAGGACTTGATTCCATTTGCAAACTTTAATTATCAGAAAGGGGGGGTCTCCCTTGTGGCACAGGGGTTAAGATGCAGCACTATGAAGCTATCTGCAACCTCTGCAGCATGAGTTCGATCCCCAGGCAGGGAGCTGACCCACATGGTACAGCAGACCTCTCCTGTCTCACCTGCTCCTTCCCTTAGCAGTGTATTTCAGTTCTGCTCCCCACTCTGTCTCTGGTGAATCCTCTCACCCCTCCCCCACCTCTGGCCCACACTCCAGCTCTTGAATGCATAAATAAATGAATCTTTAAAAAAAATTATCAGAAAGGGCAGACAGGATTTTCACATTTATTGACCGATTGGCCTTTATGCCATGTCTATGTTCTATGTCCTTTTTATCTTTCTTTCTGACTTAAGTTTTTCTAAACTAAAGCAATTGGCTTTTAGTCATATGTATTTGAATCATCATTTGTTTCTCTTTGACTGTATGATGGCATCTTTTACTTATAGAAATTTCAGATGTCTCTGTAGTTAAAAGTATTTCCCATTTGCGGATAATTTGTTTTCCACTTTTATTGCTAGGCTTGTCTTTATAATATTTCCTTCTTTTTAATCTTTTCTTTCTTGCATTTATTCTGGTGCAAGGAGTATGATAGGGCTCAGCTTTATTTTTTCCCCAAGGAGGCTCGTTATCCCAAAATCACATTTAATTAATCCATGTCCTACCCTCCCTCTATATTAAAAATCTCAGTTTAAGTATGTACTAGGCTACATACAAAGTATATAACCTTTATGTCAAGTGCTGGTTCAAACATTAGCCTCACTGGATTGAAGATAAGTTACCTAACCTTCCTATGCCTTAGTCTGGTCTAAAACTGGGGATAACAGTGGCAACATCTGCATAAGGTTATTGTGAAGATTAAATGAGTTATTTCCGGTAAGTGGTGTCAAATGAGGCAACCATGTGTTGTGTACAAGGGACTCACTTTAGATGTGAAGACACACATAGACTGCAAGTGAAAGGCTGGAAAAGATAGTGCAGGCAAAAATGGTAACCAAAAAAGAGGGGGTCCTACTGATATCATAGACTTTAGGTCACATATGATTTGGGTCCTTGTGCCTTTTACTCCATTAAATTCATATCAGTGGAAAGCTCATATGAAAGGTTTGCAAGCTACCAGAAAAAAACTTTACAGAGTGGACACCCCTTGCTTCTGAAAGCTGCCATGGAGAGAGATCCTGAGTGTCTGACAAGAGCTGGTTAAATTAAGAAATGCTTTTTATTTCTTGCACTATCTATGCTCTTTATCCACTTACAAGAAGGCCACTAAGAATTGGACACAACTGTTTAACTTGGACTCATGTAGTCTCGGAACTGAGAAATCAGTTCTATGAAAAAAATGAACAACTCAACTTCTGAACCATGGAACTTCTTGAGAAGTTCCAAAGCCAAGAGACCTATCAGACAGCTGGAGCTGCTTGTTTCCCCAAAATGACTCTCAGAGGAAGAGATGTAGGACCTCTGAACATGCCAGTATGGAGTGTTGTCAGGTCTGCAGAAAGAGAAAAACAGAAAATTCTGGGGCACAGGTTATGATGACTAAACACTCAGGCAAGGACAGCCTAAACCAGGAACTTATTCAGTGTCAAGCAGAACTTTTCATAAAGTGAAAGAGGTAAAGATATTAATTAAAGGATTATCTTTGTAACCCTATGCCTCTAATACTTGCTATAATCACAATCAGTAAGGCATAGTTATAGACGATTGAGACCTCTGTCCATGATCCCTCAAGAATGAGGTATGGGTATTCTCAGACAAGAGAATTTGTGAGCACATGATAGTAAATTGGTCCAGATCACCAGGCATTGGTCACTCTGTGCACAGCTTCTTGACCACAAATTAAACCGAAGTAAGAACCTATGCATGACAAACTTTCCCTGAAGATACACAGACCACAGACCTTTCACAGAGATAAGGACCAGAACCAGGGACAAAGACATCTCTGTAGACCCCCTGCCACAAGAAATAATACTATATAACTTTACCTAACTATCCCCTCCAAGAGACAGTTTCTTTAGAAATGCCAGTTTTTCTGTCTCCTTTGCTTGTCACAAGGAAATAAATAAGTGTCCTTTGTACAAAATAAATCAATAGACTTTAAGTCAAAAATTGCCATAAGAGACAAAGATATTCTATAAATGATAAAAAGGCCAGTTTTCCAGGAAGATATTACAATTACAAACACATGCACCTAACAACAAAGCACCTAAATATGTGAAAAAAACACAGACTTAAAGAGGAAAAAAAGTAGCACAATAATAGATTTCAATAAGCCACTTTCAATAATGGATATAACAACCAGACATAAGATCAATAAGGAAACAGAGGATTTGAATATATTCAACAACTGGACCCAACAGACTTAAACAAAACATACGCAAAACACTCCACCCAACAGCAGCAGAACACATTCTTCTCAGGCACACATGGAATCTTCTCCAGGATAGGTCACATGTTAGGCTACAGGAGAGGGCACAGAACAGAGCCAGGCACGTGGGAATGACCAGACTATGCTGGTGATTACTGTTATTACCACTGCAGGTCAAATGTGCCTGGGTCTTTATCTAGATACACTTTTCTGTTCCACTGATTCTATGACCCAGTTGACAGATACTGGGGGCCCAAAAGTGGCAAGCAGTAAAAAAGGGCACACTCACCACCTGGCTAGACTTTTCTAGTCATTTTTAGTATTTTACTGGTATTGTAAATGTTTCTTTGCATTATATTTTAAATGTGGCTAAAATTTATAGAAAGCTATGCATTTTGTTTTTAGTATTTTTAATAAATATATTTAACATATTAGCATCCACCTTAGAATATTATTTTCTTATTTCTAATAGTTTTTCTTAGTGAACTATCTTGTCCTTTTGCTCTCCAAGTGGTCCATTATATCATCTATAATTTTAATTAACAAATTTGCCTCCTTTTAGAATTTATGCTTTCAAAATTTGTATTGGCT